AGATTAGGGATTGTGATGTCTCTTGCCTGGCCCTTGTTGCCCAGAATAGCTTTTTACTATTCTGGGTGTATTCTGATTCTGCATGAATTTTAGGGTTATTTTCTGCTTTTCTCTGAGGCATGTGATTGTTATTTTGATTAGGATTGCATTAAATGTGTTTAATAGTTTTAGAAGTATGGCTAGCTTCACTACAATGTTTCTACATATGTAAGAACAAGAGATGTCATTCCATTTTTTTGATACCTTGTTTGAGTGCCTTTTTCAGAGTACTATCATTTTCAATATAAAGGTCTTTTACTTCCTTCATTCTATTGACTCCAAAGTACTTCATTTTTCTTAATGCTATTGTGGAAGATGTTGTTTCCCTAATTTCTCTGTGAATGAGTTTATTATCTGTGTACAGGAATGCTATTGATTTTTGATTTTGAGTTGGTATCCTCCAGTGCTAGTGAATTTGGTTATTAATTCGACAAATCCTTTGGTGGAATTTTTCAGTCTTCTATGTAGGGCATCACACTATTCACACACAATGATAATTGAACTTCTTCCATTGTTTATAGATATTCCTTTTATTTCTTTCTGTTTTCTAATTACCTTGGCTAATGGTTCCAAAACTGTATTGAAGGAGTGCTGATAGGAGACATTATTTCCTTGTTCCTGATTTTAGAGTGAAAGCTTGCATTTTTTGACCATTTAGTATTTTCCTGATAGTTTGCCATGCATGAATTTTATCAGATGGAGATAATACCATCTATTATAATTTTCTGTAAAGTTTTTATCATGAATGAGTTGGACTTTTTCAAATGCTGTTTGTAGTTCTATTGAGATGACCATGTGTTTTTGTCTTTGGTTTGTTAATGTGGCATATGATATTTATTGATTTATGTGTTTTGAACAATCCCTACATCCCTGAGATGAGTCCTACTTGGTCATGTCAATCTTTTTGATGATTTGCTGCAGTTTGCCAGTGTCTTATTAATTTTTGCAACTATGTTCATTAAGGAGATTGGACTCTAGTTCACATTATTGGTTGGATTCTTTACTGATTTTGTTATCAGGTTAATGCTTACTTTTAGTAATGACTTTGTGAGTATTGCCTCTCCTTTAATTTCATTGAAGATTTTGAGGAGCAGTGTACTAAGTCTTTGTAAAATTTTCTTGTAGAATTCAACAATGAGTATGTCAGGACCTGGGCTTTTCTTTGTTGGTTCATACTGGGTTATATAGAATTTTTATGTCTTCTCAATTCAGCTTTTGTAATTCATATGTGTCTATTAATTTGTCCATTTAGTCTGAGTTTTACATCTTATTAGAGTAAAGCTACTGAAAGTAGGTATTAATAATCTAGATTTCTCCCAAATCTATTGTGATTTCTCCCTCTTCATTCCTTATTGCATGGATTTGAGTCTTTTCTTTCCTTGTTTTGACATGACTGGCTAAGGGTTTCTTTATGTTATTTAATCTTTCGAAAAGCTTTTGGCTTCATTGAATATTTGTATTATTTTCTTAGTCTCAATTGCATTAATTTTTGCTTTGATATTTACAATGTAATTTCCTGTATAACTTTTGTATTTAACTTGCTCTTCTTTTTCTAGAACCTTAAAGTTCAAAAGTAGGTTATTTATTTGAGCTTACTATGTGTTTCTGGTACAGAAATTCACCACTATAATTTTTCCTCATAGGATTGCTTTCATTGCCTCCCAAGTTCTGGTATGTCATATTTGTACTATCATTTAATTATAGAAACTGTTTTCTTCTTTAATTTCATCTGTAACCTATTGGCTGTCCAGTCAGATGTTTACTCAATTTCTATGTTTACATAGTTTTTTTTTGTATTCTTTTGCCATTGATTTCCCATTTCATTGCACTATGATATTATAATATGCATGGGATAATTCTGACACTTTGCTTTTTACTTAACTATATTCCATCAGCTTGTCTGTAGTATATTTTCCAGACAAGCCCATGTGCTGCTGAGAAAAGTGTGTATTATATTGTTAGTGCAAATTTCTGTAGATATCTACTATGTCCATTTGTTCAAAAGTTTGTTTCACCTTTCATATTTTTTCATTCAATTTTTGCCCAATTTATCTATCTATTTGTGGCAATGGGGTATTGAAATTCCTCGGTACTGTTTTTCTGATTTTTCAAATCCATTAGTGTTGGTTTTATATAGTTGGATATGCATGAATTTGGTGCATATATATGTATGATTTTTACCTCATCCTCTGGATTATTTGTTTAATAAATATGTAATGACCTTTCTCTTTTCTTACCATCTTAGCTTGAAATCCTCTTTGGCTGTAAAAAACAGCTACCCCTGCTTTTCTCTGGCATGGAGTATTGTTTTCAGTCCTTTGAGTTGCAGTTAATGAATTTATTTTTGAGTTAACAGTGTTTCTTTTATGCAACATGTTACTGGACCTTGTGTTTTGATCCATTTTGACAGTCTATTTCTTTTGATAGGTGAACTGAAACTACTCACATTGCTAGTTATAACTCATTATTATATCATTTTCCTGTTTCTGGTTGCATTTCTCTATTTATTTGCTTGTCTTACCTAAGTGGCTTCATTTTACTTGGACACTTGGAGTTGTTGTCTTTGTTGTCATTTTCTGAAATATCCTTGAAAACTTTTTGGAGTACATGTTTGAGTCTCAAGAAAGAAGATTCTTATTTCTCCATCAATTTTGAAAGATAATTTTGTGGAGTACATCAGTCTGAGTTGGAGGTTGTTGTCTTTTAGGGTTTGAAATTATTATCTCCATGGTCTCCTTGAAGAAATGATTTGGGTTGAAAAGTCTGCTGCCATCCTGATATGCTTTTGTTTATAGGTGATTTCTTTATTTTCTCTAATGCCATTTAATATTCTGTTCTTGTGTTGAATTTTACTACTATGTGCCTTGGTGTAGTTTTTTTCCTAATGCTGGCAATTTAGAGTTCCATATGCCTCACTTAACTATATGTCAAATTCTTTTCCATGCATGGAAAATATTCTGCTATAACTTATATGAACACATTTGAATACCTTTTGTGCTATCTTCTGATGTTTTCATTGATTCCAGTTACTCTTATATTATTTTTCTTTGCATCATCTACCAGCTGTTTATGTGATTGTATTAAAATATGATGTGGCATTTTATTTCTTGACATTGGAATTTCATTCTTTGTTACCTTTTTTGTTGTATTTATTAATTTTATTTAGAACATTTTTCACTGCATCCTAACTTTTGAATTTATTCTACATTTTTTTTATCATGGCCTAATGCTTTTCTTTGTTTTTGACACATAGTTTTGTTTAATATTTAAAAATATCCTTTGCATCTATAGAACATATATGCATCAAGCATTTATTTGATATGATATTTGCAGTACAGTACAGTATATAATGTTAGGAGCATGCAAAATAGGTGTTAGGGTCTTCAGGTGAAGCATTGATTATCTGACATTCTTGTATCCAAGAGTGTTTCAATTTTCACATCATTTTTTCAGAGGTTGGAGTACTGATGTAGACTTTACCAGTTGAACATCTCTAACTTGTACATCAGACATCCAAAAACATTCCAAATTTCAAAACCTTTGAGCACCAACATGACACTCAATAAGTTTTGGGATTTTGAAACATTTTCAAATTTTGGATTTTTAATTGGGAATGCTAAACCTGTTTAGCAAAGGACTGAAAACAATACTCCATGCCAGAAAAAAGCAGGGGTACCTGTTTTACTATACAGCAAAAGAATATTACAAAGGAATTGATAAACAAATGCAAGGTACACTGTGTGTATTATGGGTGCATGGTGTAATAGGGTGATGAATGTGGTTGGTTTAAGAAAAAATTCTTGAACATAAAATTTAAACTAGATTGCTAAATATATGTGGTCATATTTGGGAATGGTGGAATGGGAGTATTATGGAGAGTGGAATGGAAGAAAACAGTAACAACATCATGTGGGACTAAATGTGGAGATTGGTATTGCTAAATTTTATATTTGACCTGTTATGTTGAAAGTTTGGCAGAGATGAGAGTAGAGGTTTAGGAAAATTGGGAATTTGGTGAAAGACGGAAAGAGGAAGATTTTTTCAGAAGTATGATTTAGATTTGATTGAACAAAATGCTACTGCTATTTCTTAAACAATCATTTAGCAGATGTTTACTTATGAGAATCTATGAAATATAAGGCATTGGAACAGTACTGACCAGTGAAGCAACTAAATGAAAATAGTGGCTCTTTAAAAAAAAAAAAAAAAAAAATAGTGGCTCTTTGCTGGAGAATTTCATGGTGTAGGCAGATTGAATGGGAAGTTGGTGCATGAGTCAGTACAATGATAGACTAAGAAGGTTTACTCTAGTAGTAACTTTGGAAATGGGGCTTCAGTACATTAATAGACATTAATACTAATGCAATACATGGAAGGAAAGAATACAGAAATATCCTTTAAGATATGATGTCGTGATAAGCTGACTTGATATTTTCATGTTTGTCCCACTTACTTGAAGATACTTCTCTCATGCTACCAAGTCAAATATTCCTCAATAATCATCATCATTGGTAAATACCATTATTGTGCATTTATAGCTCCCATTCATTGTTCCAGGTTCTTTGAATGAAATACTTCATTTAATTTTCAAAACCTGGTACTAGATGGCATTATCTTGATATAGATGCATAACTTAGATCTCAGAATAAGTAGTCTAAATTCACAGAGCTAACTAGCCATAAGATCAATATCTGAATTCAGATTTGTTAATTCTCAAAGCTGTGCTATGTTGCTTTGCTTCTAAAACACAGTTCCCATGTCTTTCTTAAATTACCAAAAATGTGCATATATCATGACCTCCTAAACCCTGAAATATTTATTTTTTTGAAGTATGTTTCAAATTGAATTGAAAGCTTGAGAGATCCATGTTTAATGTCTGAGTCATACATGGCAAAATATAACAAATGTAACAGTGTAGAATTGTCAAAAACAAAATATTGATTATTGTTATATTTTATTAGTCAGAATTTGCATGAAGATATTGAAGAGACTGGTGCACTGCAGAAAAGTCATGCTTCTGTGACATCTGCGAACTCCGCAGAAGCTGTAGAGCCTAACTGCCTGCCTCCAGAGCCTAACTGCCTGCCTAGAGAGGATGAGTCATTAAGCCCTCTGAGCTGTGAGGTGCCTGCAGAACAAATCCCAGGCAGTGATACAGAGATTGCTCTGGAAGTAAACGATGCTGAAGTAACAAGGAAGAGAGAGAAGCGTAGTGAAGATAAAACCTCAGAAGAAGAAACAACTAAAAATACATCTATAGCAGAGGACACTACAGAGCAACCAAAGAAAAATAGAATTACTTACTCTCAGATTATTAAAGAAGGCAGGAAATTTAATATTGATTTGGTATCAAAGGTAAGTACCAATTTTACTCATTTTACTGTAGAACATTAACTTCTAATTGATTGAAATTAGTAGCCTGGGCTATAAATCCTAGATCGTAACAGGGTTCAAGCCCAGGAGTTTGAGGACGGTTGAAATGTATGTCTTTTCAAGGACTATGTCTTAACTGGCGGAATTACTATGAATAATTAAATTATTTATTTGTGTAAGAAAATGAAAGGCAGTTATAGGAATAAAGCATTGGATTAGATAGCTGAGACGATTGAGGAGACTTTGAAGGAGATTTTCGGATGTTTTCACAGATGTACATGGTTAGTGCTACTGGTTCTCTGGGTGTAAGAAAAAGAAAAGTGTCCAGAGAGAGTTGACTAAGCTGTCGTACTTTGTCCTATGCAGTTTCTTGGGTTTATCCATATAAAAAAATAAGAAAAACTACTTACTGTGCTCATTTTACAAAAGTAGAAGTATGTAAAGAATGTATAACCATAATGATACAGGAGGTTTATTTTTATTTCTTTAAATGTTAGTCACTTAATGCTGATTCAATCCGTTCCTGCTGTATTGAGAATAGTATATTCAATTTTATGGGTTAATCACTTACTCCCTGGAAGTTTTATCTGTTCTAATAGTTGAAGGTTTTACATAAAAGTTTAAGATGATCACCATTTACCTTATTTTAAGCCCAATCTCTTTCCTAAAGTCCCCTGACATCTCTGTAGTGGTTGATGTTTCAACAAGTACTCCATGTCAAAGTCATCCTGGTGTAATTAATGAGTAGGAGTTTATGGTATATAAAACATATCTATGTATATAGCCTTTTTGTGTGTGTGTGGAACTGGGATTGAACCCAGGGCTTTTATACTGAGCTATATTTCCAGCCATTTTACTGTATTTCATTAATTATTATTGTTATTGTTATTATTATAATTATTTTGAAACAAGGATTCACTAAGTTGTCAAACCTGGGCTTGGGCCTTTGATTTTCTTGCTTCAGCCTCCAAAAATGCTGGTATTACAGACATACACCACCATGCCCAGCATATATAGCCTTTTAAATGACACCTCAGCATAAGCTAGTTAATTCAAATCTATATAGTGTTACACTGTTCAGACTAAAATTTTTTAATTTAAAAGATTAAATTAGTACAATAAAAACTCATTTTTAAGTTAGTCTGTTCTTTAAGTAATTATAGAGACACCATGCAAAGTGAAGCAAAACTTGTTAGTGATTATAGATAGTTCCCATTCTTTAATCAAATTGTAGTTTTCCTTAGCCTGTCATCACTGTGAAATTGCCATGGTAGATCAAAAAGAGAGTGGTGAAAAAGGCTTTTATGTTTAAATATACATTTGTTAATTCTGCGCTTCAATATTTTTGAAATTATTGTAGCTATTGAGGGATACTTAAATCTTGAATGTTTTTGTACAAATAAGGTTTTCTTATGTACCTTTTATTTTACAATTAAAAATTGGCAATATCTTCTTATAAAAATAGGCTATATCAGTTTTGTAGTATGTTAGGAATACGGTAATGAAGTAACATGCCATATGTACTTAGGGTGTTCAGATTCATTTACGAATACATTGCCTATTTATTTCTGCACAATGATGAACTAAAATAACTTGCAAAGTATCACTTAACTGACACTGATTGAAAGTCTTTACTGTTTTCTTAGGTGCTCAGGCTTTTTTTAGATTTGGTTTTTGAGATTCTCTTTCTCTTTTTATAGTAAAGCAAGTTTTATTTTTCTGTTTATTATTCATGTGGCATTTACATTTTAACATTTATTTATGCACAGTACATAAATGTGTGTTGATTTTAGAAAATAGACAAGTCTATTGCATTTAATATGGGTAAATTTAAAATAAGCTATATCATACTGTTTAAATTATTGTTTTTATCTTTCTGATAGTTATGAGAAATATTGGAAGATTAATCAATTCCCTGTATACATGCTGACACTAACAATCCTCATTTCTTAAGAAAAAAATACCTCACATAAATCTAGACATCTAGGATTACCAAAGAACCTTATAATTTCACTCAGGGGAAATACACCACATACCTTTTTTTTGGTGTAGTGTGTTAGTCTACTGGTTGGTTGCCCTTTCAGCCACCTGGCTTTCTATTGGTCTGTAGTCCTACATTCGAAACTCTGAGCTCCTGGTGTATTCTGTCATTGAGTTTTTTAAAAAAGAAGTATATAAAATTGTAATACAGTGCATGTGGTGATATGAGGAGCCACTTTATAATTTAACATATTACAGGAGAGACACAGTAACATTGCTTCAGAGAAATGAATATTCATATTTATTGGGACAAGGGTAGAAGGGGCTTGTATCAGGTTAGGTCAGAATAATTTCATTACTATTCTGGCCAAAATAGTTATGAAAAAGACTTGTATGTTATAGAGGTTTATGGATTTTGAATTTCAGATAGTGTAACGTGAGCCTATAATAAATTGTATTTTATATAATAATATTTATAGGCATAGTGCTTTTCATGATTAATTTTAAAATCTAACAAGCATGTGTATTTGTGTTCATTTTTCCATTATTTTGCCTTTTGTCCTCTAAAATATTTTCTTTTTACAGCTGCTGTATTCTCGGGGTTTGCTGATTGATCTTCTAATCAAATCTAATGTTAGTCGATATGCAGAATTCAAAAATATTACCAGGATTCTGTCATTTCGAGAAGGAATAGTGGAACAGGTACTGTGCTGATTGGGTATTATAAATGGGAATGAGTTTAAGTTTTTATGGTTCATTGTGAAAGGATAAATAAGATTGTTATTTTTCTAGTAAGGGAGTTAATTTCAATCTTGCATAGTGGTTTACAAATTTAAATGATAAGATTCAATTGATAAAAATTCCTAACAGTAATATTTTCAATGAATTACAGTAATACCTTGGTTCAGGAAAACTTCTGCTTGTGAACAATTCAGTTCACAAACAGAGCACTGGGCAGAATTTTCTTTCTGTTCTTGAACTTACATTAGGTGAAAAAATGATGCTGGCTATCTTCCCTGCATGAACACCAATGCAACCATCTTGCCGAGAATCATGGAATGGTTTAAATTCATGAACCGAGGTACCACTGTATTTGGCTGCACTGGTAGATTTGAACTGTAATTAATTCTCTGTTAAGGGTGATACGCCCTTAGCCGTTTAATGGTATGAAGAACAACTTGGGAGAATTAAGAATGCTCACAATAAGCTTTGATGTTAACAGAGATGACATTAGAAATGATGGAAGGTAACATTAAACAGCTAGACTAGAAAGGAAATAATAATCCTATTAAACATGAAGGGGAAAATGTAATTTGAAATACATGTGTCATTAGGAAACAGTTCTTTTTTAACTGAAAATCATAATTTTTTAGGTTCCTTGTTCCAGAGCAGATGTCTTTAATAACAAACAACTCACTGTGGTAGAAAAACGAATGCTAATGAAATTTCTTACATTTTGTATGGAATATGAGGAGCATCCTGAAGAATATAAAGGTACTGATGTTCATTAACATGCATTCTCCAATGATTTAAGCTTTTATGTCCTTGTTGTGATTTAGTGAGTTACTTATTATTGTTTTGAAAATGCATCATGTTTTTTGTCATGGAATTATTATTTTCTATCAGTTCTTGTTCATATTATTTTTGTTCTTGACTTAAAAGAGTAGTTTATAGGGATCCCTTATGTTTGGATGTGTGATAATGTGGTAGTGTAACAAATTCCAGTCGCCACACAAAAATTATTTTAGTTGTTTTTAAGTCAGTTTATCATTGTAAATTTTAGTAAGGAGTGTTCATTTAACAATAGTAAAATATGCAGTCATTTTCATCAATAGAGTTCCATTTTGTCATATTTAATATTTTCAATTGTGATTATCAACATTATTTTGAAGTTTATCAAAAAGATTTTGAAATTATTGCCAATTTCATTGAATTACTGTTATTTAATGATTTTTTTTCTACATTTGTTAAACACTAAGCAATGATTCATTATTTGAAGGTTAAAATTATGCCATCAGCCCAATTAGAATAGTGAATTTATTCCTTTTTTCCCCCTTAGGATCATCAGTCACTGTTCAAAATGTAATAATAATTATACCACGTATGTCCTTTGGGGAATCTGTTAAATAGACTTGATTAAATTTGTGTGTGTTGGTTTGAAATGCTTTAGTTCTGATTTTAATCATTTTTTCTTCTTTTCATAGCCTATGAGAATGTTACATTTTCTGAATTTTTAAAAACTCAAAAACTAACCCCCAACCTCCAGTATTTTGTATTGCATTCGATTGCAATGACATCAGAAACAACCAGCAGTACCATAGATGGTCTCAAAGCTACCAAAAACTTTCTTCACTGTCTTGGGCGATATGGAAACACTCCATTTTTGTTTCCCCTATATGGTCAAGGAGAACTCCCGCAGTGTTTCTGTAGGTAAGTTTCACGTTGGTATTCTGGTCTCTTTGAAAGATAAAACAAGAATGATGTGAACATTACAACAAAAACATAAAGATTTATTCAGGATGTAGTATTTGCAAACATACATCTTGTTCTCTCTATTATCTGTTAACTTGCTTACCTATTAATCTAAGGGATCTATTCAGTTTGACCTGTTTTTGAGCTTTATAAAAATATCATGAATTCCTTTTTTATCTATATTATGCTATAAATCATCATCTTTATGTGTAATTAAGTTTATTGATACAGTGTTTCATTGAGAATATTTCACAATTCTTTCCCAATTTTTTTGTCAGAGAACATAGGATCTTTCTAGATTTTTGCTGTCAGCATCTTTCCTTATGTTTCAGAATATATGTATTCAAGAGTTTCTCTAGAATATAGAACTAGGAAGGGAATATTTTAATCCTGGAATATATGAATATTTAATATTTTACACCATAGTGCCCAGTTGTTTCTCTAGACATTTATACCAGTTACATCCTACTAACAGTGTAAAAGCATTTCCATAGCTCTAGATGTTTTAGTATTTTCATGACCACCTGTGATGTTGAGCCTCTTTTTGGTATGTTTATGGACCATGGTTTAGAACGGTGGTTGTTGAACCTGTGGCACACATGCTGCAGCGGGCTGTTGGTGTAACTGAAACCTCTAAAGAGTTTGTCATCACTGGTTTGAGACATATTTTTCATGTCCTTTGTGCATTTTACTATTGGATTATTGTCTGTCCTTATTGATTTACAGTAGTTTTAAAATGTATTCTAAATGCTAATCTTTTTTTAGTTTTATATATTGAATGTACTTTCTCTTGTTGTATTTATGTATTTATGGTATATATATGGTACTTTTCTCTTGTTGTATTTATGGAGGTCATTAAAATTAACCTGGTGAAATATAGCAAGCTTTGCTTTTATCCTCAGCTTTTTTAGTGAGGTAGGATGCATAGTAGTTAAAAAACTGGAAAATGGAGGCAGACTAGTAGGACTGAAGGCTTCTTCATTTTTTAGTCATGAAGCCTTGGATAAATTATAAAGTCAGTTGTGTTTTACAGGAATCAAATTTGGGCTTTTAACAAAATTTTCTCTATTTTATAGCTTTGTATCATAGTTTATTAATTTCTGCTCTGTTGTCCCCTTTGTTTTGAATTTTAGGGCAGTTATTTGACTTATCTTTCCCTTCCTTTTCCTTGCCTATTCTTAGACTGAAACTCAGAGTTTAGTATAGTTGACCATTGAACAGTTATAGTTGCTGTATCTCCCCTCCCCCATGAAGTTGGAAAATTCTGTTTATAGCTTTAGATTGCTCCTAAACTTTCCTAGTACCCTGTGGATGACCTAAAACCTTATTACTGTAAACAGGCAAGTAATACATATTTTATAAATTGTATTATATACAGTGAAACATCTTTAAGAAATGTGAAACATCATTCTTTGCTACAATATAAAATTAATTGGAAAGATGAACAACTGAGGAGCACATAATTAGTATCACTGAATGTTTTTAAGTAGATACTTATAACTACTGAATTCATATTAGCAATAGGAGGTGGCTATGAACTTACTACAGTAGTATAATAGATGCTACAACTAATTTTATGCAGTTATGATACATTTGCTTACATTGCTCTCCCCTTTGGGACCATTTTTGGGTTTTGGTCATAAAAGTTTGTCAAGTTTTAACTTTTTATGATACAGATTTCTAAATCTACAATATAGATTTATATAAATTTTATGGTAGTGAAAATTATCTACATGGAATTTTTGTACTGACATACTTTTTCTTAATTTCTTAAATAATTTTATGCTTTATGGTTCATCTGACTTTTTTCAAATTTTCACAAATCTTATAAAAAAATCTACACGGAGGACTCATCCAATTCAAACCCATATTGTTCAAGAGTCAACTGTATTCATCTACTTTATTTTCCAGTTAAACATTTAAGATCACGAAGTTCATTCTGTACTTCTATGTCTTGGTACATATCTTATGTATTATTTAACATTTATTCTAATTGTTTTAATTTATATGCAGGTTCTTCAGTGACCTGTAAATTATTATGAAATTAACAATAACCAGCTTAGTTCATTCATCTTTCCTTAGCATTACATTTAATTGCATTATGTCTAAAAACATATGTTTAGACTACTAATTCTTTGAACATTGTTGATGTTTACTTTATTGCCTAGTATATAAATTTTATAAGTTTTCCAAATGTCTTAGAGAGTATTTTTATCTAATTGAGAGAAATGTATCTTGAAATGTCATAATAATGCTGGATTTGTTATTTTCTCCTTATAATTTTATGGATGTTTGTATTTATTTTGAGGTAGTTTATTACATTCATAAAAATTTAGTTGTTTAATTTTACCAATGAATTTAATGTTTTACATTATCTGATGACTTTCTCCATCTTATATTTTTTATCTTTATGCCTACTTTACCTGATGTTTAAATAGATATTCCACCTTTTTTTAGTACTTGCCTGTTATATTATTTTCCATCCTTTTAGTTTTCCACTTTTCTACATCTATGTGTAGCACACACTTTCATATGTTTAATCTCATCTAACGATCTCTATCTTTAATGGAGCAGGATAAATCCAGTTAACAGGACTATGTTTCTTTTTTTCTGAAGTATATAATTTTCAAAGATCGTATAGTTCATATGTGTCAGTACTAAATTCTTCCAGCTTGTGTATGTCTGAAAATAACTGTTTTCTTTTTTCTTTCCTTCCTTCTTGAGTGAAATTTTACTAGGAATATAATTTCAGGCTAACAGTTCTTTTTAGCATTTTAAAATTATATTCTATTATCATTTATGTTTCTTTTTTTGCTGAAATTTGATGTCAGCCTATGTTATCATTTCTTTGTAAGTAATATCTGCTTTCTCAGGCTATTTTTCAAATAGTTTGTTTTTGGTGTTGGGCATTTTTCTGTCACGGTGTGCAATCATAGTTTTATGGAGAATAAAATAATACTTAGAGATGAGGCTTAATTCAATTGCTGACCAGGCCAGAGGGGCTATCTCAGCTGAAAGCAACCAGCATTAGTGACCCTCCTAGGAGTAGCATTGAATTAGAGAACTCTGGTTTTATTTAAAATATCAGTTTTAGTGAAAATAAGGGAAGAAAAGCAGTTTAAGCCAGGAATTGTCTCAAGGCTAGGCAGCTTTCTTGGGGAAAGGGGAAGGACAATGGCCAGAAGGAACATACCTCTCTAAGCTAAACTTGTTATTGGTTAATCATTCATTGTTTAACTCCTCACAGAACCTGCATGCTTTTGTTCTGCAGTTTAACTGTTCACTCTTTATAGAGTCTTTGTGCTTTTGTATAACAATTTAACCATTCATTCCTCACAGAACCTGTGTGCTTTTGTTGTGCAGTTCAACCATTCACTCCTTAGCCTTGTCCCCCCATTTCCCTTTTTTTTTTTTTTTGTAAATTTTGCAGTTTTAGGGATCAGAAGGAAGAGAGGAATATAGAGTAGATGGGTGTTGGGCTCAATGCAGGAAGGTCATTCCAGTCTCCATGTAAACCCTCTGCTGGGACAGCATACAAGGCCCTTGAGGACTCTAAGTAGAAATATCAAAAAAGCTACTTTTAATAGTAATAAGAATCCAAATGTGAAGATTAATGCCACAAAACTCATATTGGGGGTTGAGCCAGTAGGCTATATCATTAAGATAATGTAAAGTGATACTGTGAGTTTCCATTTGTAATTTATGAAGTTGGGCCTGTAGTTGGCACTAGAGATTAGTAATCTCCATGTTGTAATCTGTGTGAAAAGTACCATGAAACATGGGTTGGACTTTCTCCTTAGACTCTGAATGGTTAAGTAGGATAAGTGTGATACACATAAAATGGTAAGTAGTGTCACCACTAAGACAACGGCATGTCCAAGGGGCTTGTTGGTACTCACCAGGGCAGCCGGCTGCTGCCTCATAGGCATCAAGTCTTTGTAGAATTGCTTTATCAACATAAGTTTGACTCTAATTCTGAGGTAACATTTTAGCAATAGCTATCATTGTTTGAACAATTTCAATAAAATAAGCTAAGGTAACCATACCAGTGGCTGCTATAGCTGCCACATAATGGCTGTAATTAGAGTGCCCAGAAGATGTTTTTGTCTGCTATTTTCAAGGGCTGAGATAAGGCTAAATTTCCCATCCATTCTGTCATAAGATTGGTGGGGAGCCAAACTTTGGCTCATTGTCTCAGTATAATATATAAATAATGTTTAATTGAGAATTATTAAAAATTATTTATGTACCATTTGAGCTGAAAAGGAATATAATAACTACCATCAGTGACTTTATATAAATGAGATACTTTTGTCAGAAATACCATGTGAGATAACAGGTGCCAGCCACTGGAATAGCTAGAGTGGCTGGAGTGCCTCCTACAATGCCTTAAGAGGCAGAGAGGTGATGGTTAGGTTGAATCTGTATATGAAATGCCATAGAACAATGAGGTGGTTGTAGATTTCCCCATGTAACTGTGAAACACAGGTCGGATAAAAACTTGAGGCCAATAGTCCAGGTCACTTACTTGAGGTATATATGTCAGAAACTCAGAAAGATAAGGAGCCTTTTCACCTTTATAATTTCGGAGTTATAAATAATTTATACGATCATTGCAAGAAACAGATTTTCAGAAGTAGGAAATTCTTGTGCTTTGCAGCATCTGCTCAGTTTTTGTGGTGGGTTGCTTTTCTCTATTGCTGTGAAACCTGAATTACAATTTAAAAAATTTAAAATCTTATTAAATTTAAAGTCTTTCTACCATATTCCCCATTTTTTGTTGTAATAATTGGGTTTTGTAGAGCCCATTGGTTTGCTCTACCATAGCCTGTCTCGTGGGGTTGTCAGGGATACCAGATACCAGTGATATGTTTAACATGCCAGAAAGGAAGGAATGTTTGTAGGGAATTGGAAGTATAGGTAGGACCATTATCTGTTTTAATTTATGATGGTAATAT